ACCAAAATGCCATTACCAATCTGGGCCTAGGGCAAAAAAGCAGACATGTCCAGCCCAACAGCCTAACCGGGCCAGCCCAATATCCGGATCTGGATAGAAACGGACACGAACAAAACGACGTCCCATTTCCCACCGAAACGTTTTTCTTATTTTATTATCTCTCCCGCCACAGCCAGCCAGAGCTCCCTCCAATTCCAGATTTCTCGATTTAAAAATCATTTCTTTCCTCCCTTTCGCACCCCGCGTCTCTCCCCACCCCCACAGCCAAACCCCAGCCCCGCCGCGGATTCGAATCCGGCATTCCGCCGCGCCGGGGAGAGAGGAGCGAGCGTCGGCGATGCTGAGGACCAAGACTCCGGGCCCGCGCGGCGGGAGCAAGTCCCGCCGCCGCTTCACGCCCCCCGCGACCAAGGCGCAGGCGCAGATGGCGGCGGCGGCGGTGGCCGGCAGCTCGCCGTCGGGGGAGCTCTCGCAGAAGCTCGAGCACGTCACCCTCTTCCCCCTTTTCGCCGACTGCCCCTTCGCCTCGCCCAAGCCCTTCGGGGAGCTCCTCGAGGACCCCCGCCCGGCCCCGGCTCCCGCCCCCGCCCCCGCCCCCGCTCCGCCGCAGCAGGCCGCGCCCGTGGACGCGGACGTGCCCATGGAGGACAGGGACGCCTGCATCCTCAGCCAGGATTTCTTCTGGTAGATCTCTGATTCGGCTCTTGATTCGATCCGAGCTGCAGTCTGTGTCCAGTGAGAGTGCGCATCTCGGGCTAACCCTATCCCTCTTCTTGCCGCTCGCTGTTTTGCAGTACCCCGGATTACCTCACGCCCGACGCGCCGCAGCTGGCGAGCGGCTTCGACGCCGATAAGGTGGGAAAAAGACATATTTTCTTGTGTGGGATTACATTGCTTATCTGATCTGTTTGGGTTATCTGCAGGAGAACACCCCTTGCCCCCAATCTCCAGAGAAGTCAGTGGCCCGGAGCAAGAGGTACAAGAGAGGTGAGAGTGCGAATGCTCAAACTGAGTCCTATTGATCTGAAATCATCATTATGGTCTTGCCTCAAGATCCAGTTGCCTAAATTCCAGAGTTTGATATGCTTGCTCTGGCATCTGGCTCAATGTTGTTGTATTAATAAAGGATTGCCATTGCTTACAGATTCTTCCCCGAAAGGTCGATCCATGGACCTAATGGAGGCGGACAGCCAGGAGATTACTCCGGTCCGATTTTCTCTAAGTCAAGATGATCCAGAGGAAGAAAAGATGGCGCAACCTAGTTCGCAAAAGAGAGGTAGCTATGTCCCACATTCAGCAAGAGTTCTGCGCTCCCAGGTGACGCCTCCACCGTGCATCAAGAATCCATATAATATGGACCCTCGGATAGATGATAATGTGTTCTCCGTGAGGAAATGCAAATCATCAGGTAACATTTATGTGCTTGATGTTATTGAAACATGTTCATTTCACATCCTTCAAATTATGTATACATGTTCATTTCACATCCCTTCAAATTATGTGTACATGCTCATTTCACATCCCTTCAAATTATGTGTACATGTTCATTTCACATCCCTTCAAATTATGTGTACATGTTCATTTCACATCCCTTCAAATTACGTGTACATGTTATAAAGTTAATAACGCATAATCACTGCGTGTGATTTTTTATCTCAGTAAGAAACATTTATAGCAGCATCTTTCTCACAAAAAAAGAGTTAACCAACAAAATATCTGTATTTAGGGTCTTCTCCCTCTATTGGCGCTGACGGTCTTTCACGTTACCGTACTGATTTCCATGAAATTGAGGTATGCTCTCATTAGATATTGTTTATGTGTTCATGTTCATGTTTTAGTTTTACATTTTGTGGAGGTTTGGGTCATGACAATTGTTTGTTTGCAGCAAATTGGATATGGAAACTTCAGTGTCGTGTTTAAAGTTCTGAGGAGGATAGAGGGCTGCTTGTATGCAGTAAAACGGAGCATCAAGCAGTTGCATAATGACATGGACAGGTAGTTTTCATAGAAGCCCTCTTGCTTCAGTAGTTAGACCATGATTAACTAATCCCGTTTGTTGTATATTTATTTACAGGAGGCAAGCATTGAAGGAAGTGCATACTTTGGTGGCCTTAGGTAACCATGAGAACATAGTTGGATATTTCACCTCTTGGTTCGAGACCGAAAAACTTTATATCCAGATGGAACTCTGTGACCGTTCCCTATCTGTGAATGGGGACAAGCCGTTGGAGTTTGGGGATGCCCTGGAACTGTTGTATCAGGTTGGTTTACTAATCCATTTTATTTTTTGTTGGTCAATGGTCAGTATTTCAAGCAAAATGAATTCAATGTCATAATGTAACTAGTATACCATTGTAATAGTTGTTCTAACAAGTTTCTTGAAATTATGTAAAGTACTCTTGGATTCATCATCTGCTGCTAACCACCCATGCATTGTTCGTTCATGTACACCTCACCTATTAATATGACCATTCTTTCATGTGCACCTCACCTACTAACGTTGAAAGTAAATTTTGTGAAATGCAAGATCTGCAAAGGTTTGGACTTCATTCACGGGCGTGGCGTAGCACACCTTGACGTGAAACCAGATAACATATATGTCAGGAATGGTATTTATAAGCTTGGAGATTTCGGTTGTGCTACACTTATTGATCGAAGTTTGGCAATTGAAGAAGGAGATTCTCGTTATATGCCTCCAGAAATGTTGAATGAAAAGCATGAGCATCTTGACAAGGTAGACATCTTTTCTCTCGGGGCAGCTGTCTATGAGCTTATAAGAGGCACTCCGCTTCCTGTTTCTGGACACCAGTTTGCAAGTCTCAGAGAGGGCAAAATCTCATTGCTACCAGGACACCCAATGCAGTTCCAGAGTTTAATCAAGGTATGGCAACATCACCATGTGGCTTTCCCTTTCCAGCTGTTTACTTTCGCTTGCCCTGCATTTCTGTATCCAGATTGACAATCAATTGATACTATTCTACTCTATTGTATCTAAACCCCTTACATTCAAAATTCAAAATGACGGCTACACTCTTCCTTAATCTAATCCCCATGCTCGAAATATTCATGATCGCCCAAGTAACTCAACACAACATAATGTTTTATTTACTTCTGTGGCTAAAAGCTTAAAGTTTGCTGCTGTGTTGCTAAAATTTATGCAGAAGCAAGTGTCTTTCGTGTAACCATGTTGCGTATTTCTTCCAACTGATGAAGCAGTAGCATAATACACTAGTACCTCACTACTGATACCTCTTATTGGCACTCTGTATGTCGACTGTTTACGCGCGTGCACAATCCTAACACTTCCAGTGGTGCTTGTGCGTCCTTTTTATAACACTAACACGATCTATATGGTACCCATTGGTGCTTGTTACTCATGACCATCATATAAAGAAAGTTTCACATGAATGAACTTCTTTCACCTTTAGCTTTGTTTCATTCAGTCGATTCTTTGGGTCACGGCCGTTACAATTACAGCTATGACGTATCTACAGAGCTGCAATTTGCAATTGCTTGGCACCTTAACTAACTCTAGCATTCAAGTCCAAGAAAGATGTCCTCCCTTCTGATAGGTATTTCACATGCTTGCTCACCCCCACTCTCTGCTTACTTTCAGTCGATGATGGACCCTGATCCCGTGAGGCGGCCGTCTGCGAAAGAGATCCTGAGACACCCCATATTTGAGAAGCTGCGTAATGCCTCGGCAAAGAAGTAGGACACCGCATCCGTCACCCAGATCCTGCAGTAGGAGAGCAGGCAAGCAGCCACCAGCCAAGCGAGCTACCACAACATCGGCTGCTGCCAAATTTTGTCTGTCTGAAAGAAGGCTCTCCGAAAACGCGCCACGGATCAGTTTTTTGCCCTGATCTGTTGTTCCTGTATAGCTACTGAGTGTTCTTAAGCTGTGAAGCCATTTGTGCGCAGGGAACTCGAGCAATATCTGTAAGTTATGGCCGTGTTGGTCCTGGGTGTTTTGGGTTTGGTCTGGGGGTTGTGCATCTCGTGTTCAATTCCTGGAGAGCCAGGAACTCTTCATTGGTTTGCTGGTGTACTGGTGTTGTGGTTAGCCTGCTTGACTGCCATTTGGTATTGTGATGATTGTGTGGGAGGAACTAAAGGAAGGATTATGATGTCCTTTTTTCAGTTGGACTTGTGGCATTTTCGCAGTCGTAAATAAACAAGAATTTAACATTTTTGCTTGTTTTTCACCTAGTAGTATTATGTAAACAGTTCTCTTATCACAGCACATGTACTATGAGGCAATAGCCTACATTGAAGCTACTGGTATCCTTGCACTATGAAATATACTACAGTATGAACGAACGTCCAAAACTAATTAACAAACCAGCCCCATGTAACTTCAGACGATCAGGTGTCCCATATCATAACGACGGCGATGACGCCGACGCCGAGCACGACGGCGAGCCAGCGGCCGAGGGGCGTGTCGGCTTTGACGGGCCGCTGGGGCTTGTACCCCTTGGAGAGGAGGTGGTTGACGGAGACGTAGATGAAGATGCCGGTGGCGAGGCCCATGGAGACGGCGAAGACCCAGTCGGCCACGTCGCCCTGCGTGGTGGCGTCGATGGCGATGCCGACGCCGACGCCGACGGGGCTGGAGACGGCGAAGGCGAAGGCGTAGGCGAAGCAGGAGAGCAGCGGGCGGTTGGGCAGCATCCGGAGCAGCGCGATGCCCATGGCCACCGCCGCGAACACCTTGTGCAGGCTGATCGTCCACAGCGCCTTCCACGCGTCCGCCTTCGTCTCTGCAATGCCAATGTCGACAGGTCGCAAGCATAGTTAGAACTGTAGGAAGATTGATTATCTGGGATTTTCTGTTTTTCTGGTTAATGTCAATGGAATCTGTGAAATGCTGATTGAAGTGGACATCAATGGACGCGCGAGGAAGTTGCGAGCATCTGGACTGGAGCATTTATTCAAAGGCTTGAACAAGTAAAAGTATGCATGACAATGACTGAAGTGAGACGAAGCTGGCTAAGAACTAGCGGATGTCGGTTTCAGAGTTGATTGATGGTTGCAACTTGCAAGCATCTGTACCGAACCAGTGGTCGAGACATGAGATGCAGATGTCTTCTTCTTTCTCATGGAAGTCAAAAATTTTGGACGATTCAACGACGTCGTGAGTCTCTCTTACCGGCGACTCCGATGGCGATGCCCTCGAAGACGGAATGGAAGCAGAGCGCGGCGATGAGCAGTATGCTGTCGCCGAGGGTGCTGGCGTTCCGCAGCATCGACGCCGTCGAGTGGCCCGTCGCCGACGGCCCGTGCGCGTCCTGCTCCTGCGCAGACACCACCAAGATCAGTTTCGTTTGGTGGCCTGACTGTCACAAAGCAAAAAACAAGACTGAACTCGGAGGCTGCACTACTTACAGCTGCTCGTTGATCCGAGCCGTTGCCATTTGTGCTGCCCAGCTTGCCCTCCTCCAGCTCCCCTGGAAAGTTGTAGACAGGAGATTAAGATCGGTAAGAATATAATCAAGATCGTCAGGAATTAAGCATACTAGCAAATGTCTTCATAACAAACAATAGTATAGAACGCAAATTTGCATTTAACCCAACGCCCAGCTGCCTCCTTTATGCCGCCGGGTGCCAGCACGGCCGGCACGGACATAGTAAAAAGTAAAGTATAGTTTCAGCGGAGAGCACGTGAGCTGCCGGGCCGCTCACAACTCACCTGCGGTTGTTGCCGGGGCGGCGGCGGGCGCGGTGCGGCCGCGCGCGACGACGGAGGAGATGGCGCACTCGGCGAGCATGGTGAGCACGTAGCCGGCGCAGGCGAGCATGAAGGCGAAGGGGTACTCGCTGGAGGGGACGAGGTCCCCGAAGGTCTCGTTGGCGTCGCTGAGGAAGTGCATCATGGCGGTGCCGAGGAAGACCCCGCCGGCGAACTGCGTGCCCAGCGCCAGGAACGCCTCGTTCCACCGCATGAAGTAGGGGGACACTCCGCCCGCCAGCGTGCCCGCGAACACCAGCGCCAGGCACCACAGCTTGACCGCCACCAGCCCCGGCGCACGCAGGTCCGGCTTTTCACCGCCGTCCGCGTCCGCGTCTCCGGAGTCCGCGTCGTCGTCCCCGCCGCCTCCATGGGCCCAGGCCGTGCTGGCGGCCGCGCAGAGCCAGAGGAGGAGGAGGAGGTGGTGGCGGGAGCTGGCGGCCGTGGCCATGGCCATGCCGGTGCCGCGCTCTGGTGCTCTGGTGTGGCGCGCTGGGAACCGTTGGGGCGGGCGGGGCGGCCGAGAGGGGGGCCGAGGAGGGAGTTTATACCGGGGCGGGAAGCTGGAAGGGGCTGACGTGTGGGCCCGTGCGGTGCGGGTAGATCATATTGCCCACGGTTGGTCGCGCTGGCCGGAGTACAACTTTTTTCTCTCTCTCGTGGGGCAGAGTACTACTACTCCCACTTTGTACTGGCACGAGGATTCTCGAGATCATACTCACCCGGCGTTTCCCCGCATGTAGGCACCGACAGGTGGGTCACCATTTCGTGGGGTAAGGATCTCAGTGGGCGGTGTGGAGCGTGAGCTACGTTTTAGTGGAAGTAGGCCGGGAGCGTGGGAGGCGGGCGGTAGTACGACGGGGACGGCGTCTCGGAAAAATCCGTTTTCCAACAAAAAAGACGTGGAAAATCCGTTCGGGCTGATTGCGTCTCCGACGACTTGGCCTTGGACCTGTGCCGTGTGTAGTAACCCGAACTACACACTTGGCGAGGCTCGACACTTTTGCATCGTTTTCTGTATGTCATTTTCCTCCTGGTGGCTGGCTGGTGCTCCAATATAAATAAGGCACACTCACAGAATTGCTTAAAGTTGATAAATCCGACGAACGTCCGTGACCGTGGGGCAGCCGCCGTACCGCGTCTCCATTAACAAACTCGGATCAACGCCGTGGGCAGATAGAGAAAAGGTGCAGCATTTTGGTCCCATGCTTCCGTCTCAATCCATGAGAAGAAGGAATTAGGCCCAGTTATTAGGATGACGAGATGGTAGAGCCGGGCTCATGTTTTTCGTTTTTTGTTTTTTAAACGGAGCTCGTGGATTTATAATAATGCCATTGTATATGGCTAACGGGCGCGCATCAATCTGGTTCGGATGTGCTGCTTGCTTGCTTGCGTGCCTTTCCCGGCCGGCCAGCAATCGACGGGCTAATAATCCGAGGTCCGACCGCGACGTCGACGGCAAGCGATCAAGCTTTTCGTTTCCCTTTTCATTGTGATAGTTTAACGATGGTGAACCAAGCTGTTCTCTTTTTTTTTTAACTGAAAAAAGTACCCCAGCTGTTCATTGTTAGCGGTCCTACCGCTGAAACGAGACCTCCTATCTTACGCTTGCTGCGTCAGCGATATTCTGCTTTGCTTTTTTGCTTTTTTGTATTCCTCGATTTTTCATGTTGGTTTTCCTTTTATCATCCATAAAAATGAGCTCGCTTTCAAAAGGGAATTGTTTCTTCATAATTACATGAATATATTTCAGTAATTTTTGAATAATTATTTTATTTCATAGTTTTCTAATCCTCATTTTTCATAACCACATAAAATATATTTTTAATAATACAGCTACATTTTTTTAAAAAAAACTATTTTTTTTCTGTAAAATGTGATAATAAATAAAATTACATGAATAATATTAAAGACATGATTTTAAAAAACATGTTCATGCATTCAAAGAATGTTGATCGCATATTTTATAAAATCACCATATGTCAGGAAAAGGTTCACTATGTGTATTAAAAAGATAAAAGTATGTTTTTGGTCCCTCAAGTTCCCACAAAGTATAGACTTGGTCCCTAAAGATTTTTTGGTATACATTTGGTCCCTCAAGTATCAAAACCGGATAAGTTTGGTCCTAAACCAGATTTTGAGCACGTTGACCGGGTTTGACCGCCACAAAACTGCCCGATAAACAGTAAATATGAAAAAGAACTTCGAAAAAATGACAAAATTTTGCTAGAGCCCATCCAATGTCATTTCATGACAAAATTTTGGTCGCACCTTGCGCACGTAAGCATATTGGACCCCAAATTTTTTCAGAATTTTTTGATTATTTTCGAATTTACTATTCATCAGCCAGATTTTTTTTCTTTTGCCACGAGCTCCTCGAGTGCCGAAAGAGCCCGAAATTTTGTTTGCATATTGCGCATGTAAGCATATTCGACCCCAAAAAATTTAAGGTTTGGTTTATGTTCTTTTTTCGAATTTACTGTTCATCGGACGGACATGTGGCGGTCAAAACCGGTCAACATGCTTAAAATATGGTTTAGGACCAAACTTATCCAATTTTGAGATTTGAGGGACCAAATATATACCAAAAATACTTGAGGGACCAAGTCTATACTTTGTGGGAACTTGAGGGATCCAAAACATACTTTTCTCTATTAAAAATGTTCATCATGTGAGCGAAGAGATGTTCATAGTGTGTTTTCAGGAAAATTTCTTATCACACAAGGAATGTGCCTTTTCTAATGTCTAATATTTTTTTTAAAAAAAATCTAGGAGAAAAATAAAATGAAACTGGGAAGAACAAGTAAAAGGAAGAAAAACCTACCAAGACCAAATAAAAAGGAAGAAAACAAAAAACATGCAAAACTAGGAAAGAAACTAGGAAAAAAAATAGGTGAACTAACGGAATCAGAACTAAAGAAAAAGAAAAACCTAAAAAAAATCCAAATAAACACCATATATGGACCGACCGATCATGCGCTAGA